CCCTCTTGGCCGTTGAAGGTTATCCTCAACAGCCAAGAGCTACCTATTGGCTGGTGAGATGTAGACCCTCGACGGCTAAGAGGAAACTCTCTTGGCTGTCAAGAGAGCACTCTCCACGGCCGAGAGGAATCCTCCCGGCTGCTGTTTCTTTTTTTTTTTATCACCGACCCCCCAAAACCACTTGGTTTTGGGGCATTGACACCCAACCCCTCCGGGGTTTTTCTTTTTTTTATTTAAATTTTTTTTGGGGGCCGACTCCCAAACCCACTGATGGATTTGGGGAATCGACTCCCAAACTTTGGGGAAACCCGGGTTTGGAAGTCAACTCTCCAAATTTTGGGAGTCGGTTGACCAAGTCCCTAATTAAAAAGGTTTAACATTAAACCTCAAACCAATGACCCCAACAGGTATTGCTACCAGCAATGTCGCCTGAGACATTAATTCTCTTCCTGAACCTGTGTTTGCCCAAAATTTTGAGTATATATATTTCTCCAAACGTTTTTTTCCTGTAATGCCATGTACTTACAAAAATTTTTCACCAACAAATCTTGCCTGATATGTCAAAATTTTCTACCAACCATTCACTAATCTCCTCAAATGCAACCATATAATGAAGGGACAATTGAAGTCTTGTGCCATATCCGCTGATCTTTTCCTCAACCCGCTATCCTCCCCACATCCAGTCATGACAATCACCATTGCTTGCAGATGGCCGAATTCCACTTCTTTTGTGCTGTCTTACTTTTGGGCCTCTCAACTATTGTATGTACTCCAAATTGTCACCTGATTCAAAATCACTGCATTCTACTGCCGCCAACAAATTTGCAAACCCGGACATGACTACCCTCGACTTCAACACTTTTTCATTGTCCCATGAACACATTATTTTTTTGTCCATTTGCAATTATTTTACTGTTTTGCGCCCACCAATTTCTTAATTCAATTGCACTTTAATATTTTGATTGATGAATATATAAATCACAAAGTGTTGCCTCTTAGCTTCAAGATCTCCCATTTTTACTTCTGTCATAACTGTTCCCATAGATCCGTTCATACCAATTTCTCACCATGTACTTCATCCAAGGAAGCCGCCACATTGATGAGGCAATTCTGGTCAATGAAAATGGGTCTATTACTTTTGATTTCATTGATAGAATTGTTCTATGTTCTTATGGATTAAGGCAATTCTGGTCAATGAAAATGGGTCTATTATTTTTGATTTCATTGACAGACTTGTTCCATGTTCTTATGGACTAAACCCTTCTCACTTGCCCCGCTAGTCTATAGTATGAATCAAGATTAGAATCTATACAGTAAGTACTTAGCTGAGAGGATTATACTTAAGACCTTGAATAGATATGCAGCTAAAGTGAACTGGGAAATGGTCCTTGGTCTCAAGTCCAAGGGAATAACTTCAATCTCAATAGATACTCCGGAATCAGAAGCCAAGGGTACAGTTGCGTGCAAAGCCTTAAATAAATTATATTTTCCCAGATTCCCAGATCATCAGTTGGAATTGAATGTTGGAGCGCCTGTGGTTCTTCTCAGAAATTTAGGAATTGATCAAGGATTGTGTAATGGTACCAGGATTGTGATTGAAGGCCTGAGTCCCAAGGCCATTAACGTGAGGATACTGAACAGACAATTCAAGGACAGACAAGTATTGATACCAAAGATCACTCTATTTCATGAAGGTGATTCAATAGTCAAGATTTCATTTTACAGGTATCAGTGCCTGGTTTCATTAGGCTTTGTGATGACAATTAACGAATTTCAAGGGCAGAGTATGAGTTGAGTAGGGTCAGTTTTAGAAAATCAGCCTTTTGCTCATGGCCAATTATACGTGGGACTATCCAGAATAAAGGATGTGAAAAATCTACTGGTGACACACGTGGGGGCAAATTCCTTGGTTACAAATGTAGCAGTTGATTTCAGAACATGTCTAGAAGGACAAGAGTCATGGAGAACATTACAGTAGCAATGGTCTAATTTTGTATGATATTTTTAACTGGATTTGTTTCTGATTATGTTTTGAAAGAAAATTCTAAATTACATTGCATTTCACTACTATGGATGTTTACTCACCAGCAAAAGCCGCCATTAAGCACTTGTGAGACTTGAGTACATTAAAGGCCACTTGGAGGCAAATCAGATGAATGAATCAAGCCAGTACAAACACACATTTTTTTGAGATATTTCCTTTCCCTCAGGTGTGCTTATTTTTCTTGGA